GATGTGAGCAGCAAGATAGTTTGATAGAGGAATTATTGTCTCTATGGGGGAAAATAGATCTAGAACTAGCAAATAACTCCCTCAGTCACTGCCATGGAGAGCAGGAATGGCGCCAGGCAGCAGCAGTGGTTGTAAATGCAGTGAGGGGACCATGGATGCTCTGCCTGAGGTTTCAAGAATTCTGAATACTGGCTAGGACGTGAGGACTGTTTGTGTATGGCTTTGTGAACAAGTAATTAACCCAGAAGCGTTGTCATTGGTTATTAAAGAGGCTCTGCAAAGCTACTGAAACACCAATGGCTGCTAAAATAAGACAAGTTGACTTTCTGGAGAAATCCTGACATGTCAAGCTCAGCAAGAAGCCTTGAAGACTGCACTGTAGTCAAGAATATACAATGAAACTACTGCACCCAAATTCCCCTATTGGGAATATACCCAGAGGAACTCAAATCAATCTACAAAAAAGATACCTGCACACGTATGTTTGTTTCCGCTCTATTCACAATAGCAAAAACATGGAACCAACCATATTGCCCATTGAAGCTGGATTGGATAAAGAAAATGTGGTACATATACACAATGGAATATTATGCAGCCATAAAGAAGGACAAATATATGGACTTCACAGCAACTTGGATGGATTTGAAGTTGATCATACTCAGTGATCTATCACAGAAACAATGAACAGAGTACTATATGTTCTCACTCATAAGCAGACCTTGAACAATTATAATACTATAAGAAAGCATTTGGCAGTAATGGGAAGCTGTCAGGGGAGGAGGGGTGGGATTGGCAGTTGAGGGAAACTGCTAGGGGAGGGGGGGCATACCTCATCAACAAGGGTACCTGTATAATCAATGTTTGTATACCTAACCCTGAATTGTACCCCACAGCTTTATAATAAAAAATAACTTAAAAAACCATTATAGACACAACAGAAAAAAAAATTACTGAATGCAGTAGTACAGAACATTTTTTCTTTTTAAAGCTTTTTGCATCAGTGGAAAGTGGCTTACAGATAGAACTATCAGATGTGTTTACATCGTATCTCATTCACTTCTTTTTAAACAGCACTAATGCTTTGGCATTGATATATTCATATTTATGCATTCCTTATTTATAGCTTTGGTAGCTTTAATCTTCTAAGTAGTTTATCAGATGTGTACATATGCTGTACTTGGTTGAAGTATGATGAATCCATCAGTAACAATGTATAGTTGTTGTTAACACCATGATAAATTTTTTTTCTTTAGAGACAGGGTCTCACTGTGTTGTCTAGGCTGGTCTTGAACTCCTGGCCTCAAGCAATCCTCTTGCCTTGACCTCCCAAAGTGCTGAGATTACAGGCATGAGACACCATGTCATTATAAACTTTAATCTTGAATTTTTTATGCATATAACTGTCAATTAATGTTGTATTGGGCTGAAAGCTGATAGGATTTCAGTCATTTGTGAATTTTTACTTTGATTCATTATGTCATTCTGTTTTAAAATTAAGAGCATGAAAAACATTTCTTGTCATTTTTTTTTTTTTTTGAGTTGGAGTCTCACTCGGTCGCCCAGACTGGAGTGCAGTGACCGCAGCCTCGCCTGCTGGGCTCCAGCGATCCTTCCGCCTCAGCCTTCCGAGTAGTCGGAATTATAGGCACCCGCTACCACGCCCGGCTGATTTTTTTTGTTTATTGTAGACATGAGATCTCGCTGCCCAGGCAGGTCTCGAACCCGCGGGCTCAGGCAATCCACTCACCTCAGCCTCCCAAAGGCGCGGGATTACAGGCTGAGCCACCGAGCCCGGCTGTCATTTGTTTTTTAACAAAAAATATTCAGTTTTTCAGACAGCTTGTTGGGCAGTTAATAGTGGCAACCAGATCATTTTTGTATTGATTTAAATAATTAAATAATTGGATTAAATTTGATATTGTATGAAGAAAATACATTATTGTAGCTTAGAAAAATTCATTTACACAGAAAAATGACTGGAGGATATGAAATTTATCGTGATGTTGGACTAAGATTAAAGAATTTTTTGCTAAGAACATGGGCACAAGCTGGGCATGGTGGCATGTGGCTATAATTCCAGCTATTTGGAAGGCTGAGGCGGAAGGATCACCTGAGCCCAGCAAGTCGAGGCTGCGGTGGCCGTGAGCGTGCCACTCCAGCCTGGGCAACAGAGTGAGACTCCACCTCAAAAAAAAAAAAGAACATGGGCACACATTATTACTATTCACTACCGCCTATGTATGTGAGCTAGGATTTCCAATTTTGACCCTATTTAAAAATAAAAAGATAGGCTCAACAGTAGACCATGTACCGCTTTTCTCATGAACAGGCAAGGACTTCTATGGTGTTAAATATTTCCTGATTTGTTTATATATATATATATATATTTGAGTTGGAGTCTTACTCTGTCACCCAGACTGGAGTGCAGTGGCCGCTCCCGGCCACTGCAGCCTCGACCTGCTGGACTCCGGCGATCCTTCCGCCTCAGCCTTTTCAGTAGCTGGAACTACAGGCACGCGCTACCACGCCCAGCCAGTTTTTTATTTTATTGTAGAGATGAGGTCTCACCAAGTTGCCCAGGCGGGTCTCGAACCCGTGGGTTCAGGCAATCCACTCACCTCAGCCTCCAAAAGTGCTGGAATTATAGGCTGAGCCACCGAGCCCGGTTTCTATATTATTTATATAAAGATTTGTTTCTACACTGTATTACAAAATATTTTTTATTTTATATTAACTTTGTTTTTTACTTTATTCTATGCAGTAAGCATTGTGATATTTGTATTTCAGACACGTACATATATGTCATATATATGCACATACTGGACTGCAATGTAAAATTTATTTCTTACTGTGGGTTGTAGATAAAAAAGTTAGAAAAATATCCAATGCATTAGAAGTTAGAAGACAATGTTGGATGAGTAACACACCTGCAGAACGATTTGGCTCACAGACCACTAGGTTGTAGTCGCTGAACAAAACTGAATGTGAGTTTAAGTATAGAACTTAGTTTGTATGTAAGTTACAGTTAGGGCAGAGAATGATATAATAAAAAGAGTGCTTAAAAACATTAATAAAAGCTGGGCTCGGTGGCTCAGCCTGTTATCCCAGCGCTTTGGGAGGCCGAGGTGAGTGGATTGCCTGAGCCCACGGGTTCGAGACTCACCTGGG